CCTTTGGAATGGGAGCCTTTGAATGTTGTGGAGGCAATAAATTTAAGTGAGTTTAAGGAAAAGTTTGATAACTATATGAATGATAAGGGCTGGCTTTAAGATTTGTATTTGATAGTTTTGGTTAGTTTAGAGATGGACCAATAGGTCCGTTGTTGTCCCTAAACATTGTTACATTGAAAGCTAGCTGCCCCTGTGTAATTTACTATAATATAAAATTTTTAGAATAATTAATAATTGCTTCTAACCTTCATTATTTCTATAAACCTCAGCATATTCTAAGTGTCTAAAACATTAATTTGAAGGATTTTTATTAATATGTTAACTGAAAAACAACAAGAGACTCAAAGTGATTTTAAGAGAAACAGAACCTTTATATACTTTGGACATATTAATACAGTTTGATACAACTAATCTAATGGATGAAAAATATTTGAAAGTTGATCAATTCAAGTTTGGGAAAGATTTATCTAATGGATGAAAAATATTTGAAAGTTGATCAGTTCAAGTTTGGAAAAGATTTATCTAATGGATGAAAAATATTTGAAAGTTGATCAATTCAAGTTTGGGAAAGATTTATCTAATGGATGAAAAATATTTGAAAGTTGATCAATTCAAGTTTGGAAAAGATTTATCTAATGGATGAAAAATATTTGAAAGTTGATCAGTTCAAGTTTGGGAAATATTTCTGGTGCATACAGCTTGAGAATAAAATTTTATAGATTTTTCCTAAAATCTTGATACTTTGTAATTTTTTCACAAGTCACTTGACGAGAAATTTCTGATGACTAAAACATTATAAACGTTATCTGTACTATTAAAATAAAGGGGTCTAGGGAGATCTATGAAATAATAGGTATGTTAGTTTGACTTTTATAATTAAATGGATAATGGGATCTGTTGTCAGAGAGCAACTTGACTTTAATTAGTGAATGAAACATGGTTTTAGTTCTTGACTTTAATACCAAATTCTTGGAGTTTTTGACAGGACCAGAGCCTTTTTGGATTTGAACATCCCAGTTTGTGTTTTATTTAGATATAGTAACAGATGTACTGGTGCAAAT